GTCTCCTTCTCTGGAGATATTCCAGCCCCGCCTGGACGCGGTGCTGTGCAGCCTGCTCTGGGTGACCCTGCTTGGGCAGGGGGTTGGGCTGGGTGACCCACAGAGGTCCCTGCCAACCCCCAACATGCTGGGATTCGGGGATTCTGTCTTTACAAACCGCAGCTGGTTTGCTCCAAGGTCTCTAAGAGCTGCACAGCCCCATCTTCGCTGCTTCAGAAGAGCAGGGGTGGGATGCCCAGGCTGCGAGGCCGAGCCTTCAGACTCCCCAGGGACGCGCGAGACGTGCTGAAAGCAAACAAACCATTATCCACCGCTCCTGTCGCCAGAAGCCTTCCCCTGCGTCCGTTCAGCCGCGCGCAAACAGCACAACAAACAAGGACGCGTGTGCGGGGCAGGAGCGGAGGGCCAGGGCGGCTGCCAGCCCCGCGACTGCCTTGGGTTGGGATTTGGGCTGAATTTCTGCCGGAATGGGCAGAGGCGAGTGCGGGAAAGCTGGGAGGTTTGGAGAAACGCTCTTGGAGCCAGCAGGATGGAGAGGAGGAGGAGGAGGGTGGGATGCTCAGCGTGTAGAGCAGGGGGTAAGCTTGGCGGCTGGGTTTTTGGCTGAGGTGTAGGTCGGAGCCGGGGATGAGCATCCCGGTGTGTAAATGTGAAGAATTAAACCAAGCCCCCGTTTCCCTTCTCGCGCTGATCAGAGGGCGGGAAGAGCTGCTCAGGGCGGCTTTTCCTTCACCCACCTCCCTCCTCATCCCCAGAGATGGGAAGGGGCAAGGGACCCATCTGCCACAGCTCTGGGGGTGCTGGTGGCTGGCTGAGCCCTCAGGCCACCTCCTGCCCACCCGCAGCAGGGCTGGGGACCACAAACCCCCTTATTTTGCCCTCTGGGTCCTGCTGGCAGCCCCGGCTGGGGAAGGGATGGACACGGCAGCCCGGGCTGCAACCTGAGCTGCGGCCCCTGGCAGTGACGGATGGGCCGGGGGCTGGCGGCTGCTGCTGCTTTTGAAATTCTCCTTGTTTTAAAAGCATTACGTAATAAAGCGAGGGATTTGCTGAAGCCGCTTGAGGTCCCATTTTCTCTGGAACCCATTTCCATGGCATGAATCACCGAGTGGAATGAACTCAATTAGTTCAGACAGAGGCAGGAGATAAATCAGGGTCCCATTAGGAAACCCTGAGGTG